AACCTACTCCAGTGCCAAACATTTTACTTTACTGTTTTATCTTTACTATCTTTTAGCAAATCAAATGTTAAAGAAGAGGCTATATAAATTGATGAGTATGTACCAAAACCTATACCTATCAAAATTGCAAACATAAAACCTCTGATTATTTCTCCTCCAAAAATAAACATTACTAACACTGTCATAAATGTTAATACAGATGTATTCATAGTTCTTCCAAATACTTGATTTAATGAGGTATTAAATAACTCTAATCGAGACATATGTAAATGAGTTTTTAAATTCTCTCTAATTCTATCAAAAACAATTACAGAGTCATTTATTGAATATCCTATAACTGTTAATATAGCAGCTACAAAACCTTGGTCTATTTCTAATGAAAAAGGCAATATATTATCAAACAATGAAAATACACCTAAAACTATAATTACATCATGAAATAAAGCAGCTATACCTCCTAAGGCAAATTGCCATTTTCTAAATTGAACTAAAATATAAATAAATATCAATATCAAAGCAATCCCTATTGCCCAGAAAGCTTTTATTTGTATGTCGTCCGCAATTGTTGGTCCCACCTTTACATATGATTTTATTCCATAATTGTCTCCTTTTTCGCCGTTTACAAATTGCTGATAAGTTAAGTTTTTAGGTAAATATTCTTTTAAGTTCGTATATAATAACTGATTTATTTCTTTATCAACATTTGGGTCGTCATCGGAAATTCTGTATTTTGTAGCAATTTTTACTTGATTGTTTTGACCAAAGGTTTTGACTTCAACTTTTACTGGATTTTTTGATTCATCAAGAAAATTATTTGTTAATTTAGCGGAGAGATCTTCAACTTGTACTGGTTGATTTAACCGAACTACATAATTTCTACCACCTACATAATCTAAGCCTAAATTTAAACCTCTTGTTGCTAAAGATACTAAACTTATAATAATTAATACGATAGAAATAAAATATGCAATTTTTCTTTTTTCCATCCAATGCCAATGTATTGGTTTAAATAAATTTTTAGATATAGGTGTTGAAAAGGTTAAACTTTTTCCACTTTTCAATCTATGATCAATAAAAACTCTTGTTAAATAAATTGCAGTAAAGAAAGAACAAAGAACTCCAATAATAAGAGTGATAGCAAAGCCTTTTATAGTTCCAGTACCAAATAAATATAATATAACTCCAGTTAATATTGCAGTCATATTTCCGTCAAAAATTGCAAAAAAAGCATATTTAAAACCATCAGAAACTGCTTGCGGTACAGATTTTCCTTTTCTTAATTCTTCTTTAATTCTTTCATTTGTAATAATATTGGCATCAACGGACATACCGAGCGTTAAAACCATCCCTGCAATACCTGGTAAGGTTAAGACAAAGCCAAACTCTGCCATTATTCCAAATAAGAAAAATAAATTGGTTATTAATGCAATATTTGCATACATACCGCTTCTACCATAGTTAATATAAAGCCAAAGGAAGGTAACTAATAATGCTGCTAATGCTGATATTAATCCATTTTGGATATTTTCACTCCCCAGAGATGGTCCTACAACTTCAGCTTGAACAATAGTAGCTCTGGCTGGAAGTTTACCAGATTTTAAAACATCCACTAAATCCTCAGCTTCTTGTTGTGTAAAATTACCCGATATCTGAGAACGACCATTTTCAATAGGTTCATTTACCTGTGGAGCAGTATAAACTAAATCATCTAAAACAACAGCAATAGGCTTTTTTTGATTTTTCTTTGTCATTGATGACCATTTAATAGCCCCATCCTGGTCCATCTGCATATCTACCATAATCTTTGAAGGATTTATTGGATCAACATTTACGGCAGCCTCTGTTATTGAGCCTTCTAAAGGTGGTTTCCCGTCTTGGGTGCCTTTTATAGCATAAAGCTCTATAATATCCTTATCGGATTTATTTTGCCATAAAAATTTGGTCAATTTAAGATTAATAGGAAGTTTTTCTCTTACTTGAGGATTTTTTAAAATTTCATTTATTTTTGCAGTATCAGATACTTTTGCTCTTCCAAATACTGAAAATCCGTTTATATCAAAATTTATTAATGGAAGTAATTGTTTAGAATTTAACCCTTTTCCAACGAGAATATTAGATTGATTAATAGACATTACAAACGGAGCCATCTCTTGTGTAGTAAAAACTTCCCAAAACTCTAATTTTGCAGAAGTTTGTAGCATTTTTTTAATCCTATCGGTTTCTTTTACTCCTGGCAATTCTATCTGTATCCGCCCTGTTCCCGGCACTCTTTGAATATTTGGCTGAACAACCCCAAACCTGTCAATCCTTGTTTTAAATACTTGATATGCTGTTTCTATTTGTGAATTTACTTCATTTTCTACTTTTTTTTGAATCTCTTGATTTGAAGTTTTATATGTTATCCCGAGTTTATTATTTCTTTTCCCAAACAAATCTGAAGATGAGAATTTAATATTTTTTTCTTTAGCCTTGGCATTTAAAATTGTAAAAAAATCTTCAGTATATCCTTTATCAGAATTCTTTTGTTTTTCGTTTGTTTCTTTGATTGCTTCAGCATATGTAGGGTCC